CAACCTGTCGGAACAAGATCGTGAACTGGCGACTCTTCGCAGAAGAATCGCCGAACTTGAAGGTCTCAATGCCAACAACGGGACACTTGGTGAACCGTCTACTAGCAAAGAGACAGCAACGTCAGCAAATGTAGACCAGGAATCGCAAGATCAACTGGGAGCAGTAGCTGACAAAATCGAGGGTCTAAAACTTACAAGCGGGCTTTTATATTAGTAAATCGGCCTGTAACAACAACGTGGTTTGCCACTTGCATAACGACTAGCTAGAGTAGCAAAGGTCGCCACCACCTAGGCGAAGTGTCATACCTATCAGATATGATTACCGGACCATAGGTGGAATTTAATTTTAAGTGAATTAAAAGTATAATCTAAGTTAATATGTCGTTATATGTATAAATTACTATAATGCCTCGTGGTTTATAGAACACAATTATGACAATCAAAGTTGTATGTGGTTGATATGTAAAACATACCGTAGCCCGTGTCTAGATTAAGGAATAGGAATGAAATACACGCGAGTAATTAAGTTACTCGCGCAATAAAATAAATATTACAATTGAAATTAATAAGGAAATTTAATTTAATTGTTAAAAAAAGAAAATTAAGTTAAACATGGACAAAAATGCGAATGCATCAAAAACCATGTCTACAAATAAAGGCAATACAAATAAAATAAAATATTTAAACAAATAATATTACAAACATCACGGACGGTATTGGAACACATCCGTTAATGTTAATAGGAAATTAATGAAGAACACCAGGAGCGGTCTGGACACTCGCTCCTTAGCGTTGGCTAGAAGAAAAGGGAAACACGTGCTCTCCACACATAAACAAAATTAAGTTAATTTACAATAAAATAAAATGAAATAAAATAATTAATAAATATAGCTCATTACATAAATATAATACAAAAAACCCAGCACTTTCAAAATTTAAGTTAAAAAAGTAAATTTTTTGTGAAAAAGTGGTCATTTTAAATCCCCCCCTGTGGGCAGGTAAAGGGTCAGACATAAAAAAAATATATACCACATGATAGGTAAAGACATCATGCATCTATAAAAAAAAATTTATATTGATCCATACATCTTTCAAAAAGTTGTAGCATTATAAAGTTAAAAATATAAAAAAGAATTATTTTACAAAAATCGTATTTTTTTTATAAACTTTGATGTCTGTTTTCACCATGAAGATAAAATAAAGTCCGAAATTTTTTTTTT